GATGCAGTTTGCTTCATAGCAAAAGAATTCTTAAGAAATTTCAATCACCGAAACAGCAAGCCAGAACAGGCTTCTGATTTTTTTTCTGTTGAGAGTTAAAGATGTGGCAATAACGTGATTAGGTAACATTTATTTCTTTACATGCAGCACCACCTTATTCTTTCTACAAAGAGTGGTTAATACAGAGTCCTATGCCAAAAGAAAAATGAACCAGAGACCCTAGTCCGTAATTTGTGTTGCACCCAAATAGGTTTCTGTAGCTTCAGGCATACTATGTCTGCTTCTGGTATCTCAGCTTTGCTTCAAAGGATTTATTTGGGTTTTTTTTTATCGCAAACCACTTTTCAGAGGTTTAAAGTGGGACAAACATTTCTTCTTCTGAAAATTGAATATAAACAACTTGCCTAGATGTGGGAATGTTTTGCTTTTGATTAAGATGCACTTTTTTGTAAATGGCCTCCTGGGATCTAGTTTAGTCTTAAGCATTTTCACGTTTTCATGATACCTATGAAATGAAAATATACGGATTGGCTACCCTTGAGCCCCAACTGTTTTCCCCTTTGAGGTAAGAAGGGGAAGAAATTTAAATTAATGAGTTTTTTCAGAAATGACTTGCGCTTAGTGTGGGTAGTGGGATGTTTGTGTACAGTTGATGTGTGTTAAATTGTAGCTGCTCCATGCAGATGAATGTGGCAGTGAGACCTTTTGTTGGACCTACAAAAGAGGAAATCAGATTTCATATGCTTGTATTTCCTGACCAGAAAAGGAAGAGACTGGCTGCACTGCTGTCCCCAAAGGAGAGGGGAATATGAGTGAGATGGGTCTTGTCTCCTCTATTAGGAAGAATGTAATAGCACCCATAAGGATAGTAACCCTGTGGTGAAAACATCTTTTGGTATAGTATTTGGCAGGTGTTAGTACTGAGCCTCTTTGGTGCCAACCAGCCATACCCACAGGCACTTTATATGTGCATGCTTCACCCAATATGTGTGTCTTGCCAAGAATCACAAATTTGGTCAAAAGAATTCATGGCCATCTTTTCATTCTTTGTTCTCTAGTCAACTGTCTGTTGGGTTAGGAATGACTGTTGCTACAAGTGGTTATAGTTTTGTATTTGGAGTGAATGGGAGGTGGAGAGGGGAATTTTGTGCATGTTAATTGTATCTGTGGTAAACTCAGTACAGTTTAGTCCACAGGTTAATATGGAATTGACTTGTCAAAGGAATTTGCCCAGTGGCAACTCTGTGTCTGAGGTACAAGATGTATGTGTGTGTATCTAGATTTTAAGCACCCTTTGAGCTTGCGTTTAACTTCTTATCCAACAGAACATACCTCTTATTATTTTTGCACCAAATACAGTAATGAGAAGATAGTCTAATTTGTTCTTTGGACGCATTGTTGCATTTTTGGTACAGACAGTGCTAGTAAAGCCTAATCAATTTGTAAAGCTCATTTTTATTGGGATTATAAAAAGCTTTCAGACTGAAAGCTCCTGGAGTAGGTTTGGCAACCACTGTAGAGTCTTACTCCTTGAAAATAAAACATGATTCATTCTGTGCACTAGTAGCTAAAATCCTGTGCTGTTACAAAGGTGGAATCCATAAAGTCATGTAAAGTTTGCAGAGCCAAAAAAGGTTGAGAACTTAAAGCTTGCATGGTAACAACTAGAATGTTAAAGACTAGTTGACTATCCTATAAGCATTTGCTTATCGAATAATTTTTTGACTAGTCGATAGGCACGTCTACGTTCCTCCTTGGAAATGCACAAGACTCTGGGTCCACTGACCTGGGCGCCGCCTTTGAAATGCACAAGAGTCCCCAATGAGGGCTCTTGTGCATTTCAAAGCCATGGAGCCCAGGATCCCGAGCTCCATGCTACCCTGCTGACCCCGGGCTCCCTGCAGCTGCCCCTTTGAATCAGGCAGATGCATAGTTCAAAGGGACAGCCGCTGCACAGCTGATCTGTGGACCCTAAGTCGACTAGTCAATTAACCGCATTTTAACATCCTTAGTAACAACAGGTCCTCCCCATGATGGTTGAACCTGGTAATGCTCCACACAAAAAGAACTCTGTCATGCATGTAGCTATTTCCAACTCTTCCCACAGGCTGTGCAGAAAGGATAGGCTTCAGAGTGATGGTTTCTGGAATCTTATCTTAGATGTATGACCAAAAAAATGAATTATTTCCCCATTTGATTCTGTCCATAATGAAGCTTCAGTGGGAGCATTGAGGGACGAGGCCTTGAATGTTTCAGTAGCAACCTCAGTGTTTCTACTGATTACAAGGCAATGAAGACAGAACTGTAGCCCCTTTGCTTTCTGGTATTTTAAGCACTGAGTATTCTGAGATGCTTGGAATGCTTCTGACTGGGTTGCAGCCGCTATTTACTAAGAAATTCTCCCTCGCCCTTATTCTGTATTCCTTTTTTGTTTTCTTGCTACCTGCTGTTGTAAAACTTTGCTGATAACTTTTCTTTATTTAATCCTATTTTCTCCATAGCCAAACAAGAAATAGATGCTTAACTAACCACATTTGCTGTGTGTTAATCTGAAGCAAGTTACTGTGTTTAAAATAGCTGGAACTTGGTAGCTACAAAAGAAGCTGGAGACTGTCCACTTTTCTGTTTAGATGATTTTACCTTATTTATTTCTGTTTTAATGTCTTTGCTGAGCAGAAAGTTCTCTCTGTCCTGGGTGTACAAATAAGGGATGCTCCCCATAGCTGTGTGTGATCCCAGAGTTTGAAGTAGAAGAAGGAAGCAGCTTGTATTGCTTGTGTCTCTTCCTGAGTGTGTTCAGTATTGTCTTTCAGAAGAAAAAGATTTAGGGTTGGATAGACAACAGAAACTGCCACTTGTGTAGTTAGCAGCTCTTCCCCCAACCCCCACACACCGCATGGACAATACCGTCGAACCTCTTTTATAGGAAAGGGGAATGTTGGCCAGATTCACTCGGTCCTCTTTCCTCCTTTTTTCTTCTTTCACTTCTGCCTGGGGAGTTAGCAGGAGCAATTAAAAGGAATCCTAGTTTAATACGTTTTCTGAAGAGCTGGCTTGCTCAATGAAATTCTCTTTCTGAGTCTGGGGGGAAATTGCTCACCATTTAAATAGCCTGCATATAGAGGGGAAAGTCTCCTGGAGTGGGTGTGGATTTCTACTCATGACTAGGGAGAGTAAGTGTGGTGTCAGCTTGTTGGTTGTAATCAAGGAAGCATTTCTGCCTGTGTACATATGGGCTGCTTTGGCAGTGCCACCAAAAGTGAAGGGCCATGTTTGTGGTGAGTCTAACTTCTAGCTATGTCTGTGTATCCCTAATGGACTCCCTTCATCTCTGTTCCCTTGACTGCTTGGCCAGCCCATTTTTAGGCATGATGCAGCTATTGACATTAAAGCTGGAGCTGTATGTGCAGGGCTTTTCTGCCTGTGTACATATGGGCTGCTTTGGCAGTGCCACCAAAAGTGAAGGGCCATGTTTGTGGTGAGTCTAACTTCTAGCTATGTCTGTGTATCCCTAATGGACTCCCTTCATCTCTGTTCCCTTGACTGCTTGGCCAGCCCATTTTTAGGCATGATGCAGCTATTGACATTAAAGCTGGAGCTGTATGTGCAGGGCTTCCTAA